ATATCTTGGCACTTACCAGGCCGATTTTGACACTTTAACCACCATTAGATATGTCTTGACAAGCTTTACAAAAGTCTCTTAAACAAGAAAGATGATTACCTTAATATAAAAAAAATTTACCTTGGACAATTGCCATATTCGCACTATAGTAAATTTATATAGTAATCTGAATCATATTTTACTAAGATCATGTTTCTGTTGAGTGGCAAATCATCTATTAATGATTTTCCGTTTAGTAAAAGTAAATTATTTAATAAAGTAAGGGCTTCTTGTTCAATTGTGGTAGTTATGGTAGAATCTTGATTTTGTAATTGCTAATTATTTCGATATAAAAGATCTTTACATAAAGCTAATTTATGTATAAACCATAATAATTCAGGTTTAACAGAATAACAAAAAAAAAGAATAGTAGCAAATAGGTGGCGTAATTGGTGTTCTGTTTGTATTGTACTTGCTTCAAGAAAACATGTATCCCATTTTGCATCATTTTAAAAAAGACCTAGGAGGAAACACGCTTCTTTAAAGCTTCTACAGAGATAGCCGTTTATGGTTTTGAGGTCATCAAAGCAAGTTGCACCTTTTGCGCGAGTAAGTAAACATCTAAAATAGTAATGTTCTCCTTCCGAAGGTTGTACTATATAAAGTCTTGCAAGCATAGTTGCAGATATTTGTCTAGAGGTCTACTTATATTTAGCTATCCAAGTATAGTAAGTGGAAAAGTCGATATATATTTGCTAACATGCTGTGGGATTATTTATATTCTCTTGAAACCAAGCTGTCAAAGTGGTCATTTGATTATTAGCACAGTTAATGATATCTTGGAGATCTTTATCTTGAAAAAAAATGTGTTGATGTCCTGGAAGATGGACTGTGAGTCATTGTACTTTCAGTGCATGGTTATGTAATTTGCAATGAAAAATTCTCTAGATACTTTCTGAAGATAAAATGTATCTTGCATTGAGATACATTTTGATTTCATCGATTTGGATAGGTTTAGGTAATGGTTGTTGGTTAGGTGTTTGATTAGGATAAGAAAAGGTAAGAGTCACGCGGTTATGGCTTTTGTAAACGTATTTATATAAATACTTAACTGCAGATTTCAATATTAATATTCGCATTATATTTTGTAATCAATTTGATATTATGAGATACAACCCATCTATTATCTAATTTGATGTTATCTCTAATCTCTACAAATTGATTAGTGTCTCGCCTGCAGTAAATAGGATATTTCTTATTATTTTCTATAGTTCGTTCTTGAAAATTTTTGAGAAAATCTTTTTTACAAACACCATCTTTCATATATGGTGTGTCTGAGTTCAAAGAACCACATAGGCCATGCATCATCATAGCCAAGACAGTTTCGTAAACAAGTGGATTTAATGTAATATTTGGAATTTCTGCTGAAACTATAGCATCATAGTCATCAGTTAATCGTGGTTTGTCCTCAGGAGTGAGGATTAGTAAGATGTGTGCATGGGGGAGACCACGTTTCTGAAATTCTACTATATATATATATGCAATAACTTTTCCAAGCCAATAGTTATTGCATAGGTCTTTTAATAATAATTGTAGTTTTATCTGAAATACTTAGACTGTTAAATCAGGTCTGTCAGAAGTGGCTTGATGAGATAATAATTTCTTGGTAATTTCAGACCATTTAGGATTACAGATGAAAGTTACAAAAAGATCAGGTTTTCCAAAGTGAGTTATAATTGTTATTGCATCTTGATATAGTTGATACATCTGACGTGGTCCACTAGTAAAAGACGACAGAAGAATTATACGACGACCAATATCAGTACTACTATCACTGGCATGTAGAGCATCTATAACACCTTGATATAATTTAGTTCGAAGAGATTTTTGGTTTGTTTTAAGGTAAATTAAGCGATTTTGCTCAATTTTAGCATATTGGTCAACAATATATTGTTAATATAAATGGCCAGTGCATTGTATCCAGTCACCATCTCTAATTTGCAATTTATAGAAATAAAATTGTATCGTTGTTACTCTTTTTCTTTTTATAGCGCCTATTAGTAGTATATTTATATACTAACTATCATCACTTCTAGAGAATAATAGCACATAATGAAGTAGATCATATGATGAAATTCCAATATTCTCTGTAAATTTCTATCATGTGATTTAAGAAGAATATCTTGGCTTGTTAGATTAATTTCATGACCATCACTGATCATAATAGCAGCTACTTCAGAGGATATTGAGACATTATAGCGGCAGATGTTATGAGTTCTATGACCATAAATTATTATTGAGATTGTAGCAGCTGAATCTTCTTAAATAATATCTCTTACTTGATAAAATTTTTAAATATAAGGGTTGCATTCATCGAGTATATTTTGTAAGGTTTGTAAAATTTTAGGATTCAAATCATCCATGACATTAAGATGATTTTCAACTTCATATGCAGTATCATAGATATATATTGAGCAAATGCTAGAGAGTTGCCTTTTTCTGATAACAATAGACTGATGAGATGATAGTTTTAACCATGAATACAAAAATTTGATACATCTTGTTCTAAAAATTGTTAATCTACATTAGAACCAAAGAATGTGCAGGCTAAAACTGTATTATAGCCTCTAACATTTTTTTGAAATTCACTGGCGAGAAGTGTATTTAAAGTATATAGTTCTAGTAAATGTGGGGGTGGTTGAAATAAAAAAGGCAATTTTACTTTGCCATTGACACAGCAAACGGAAAATCTTGGAAAAGCGAGACCACTATTTTGGTTCTTTTCTAGTATCCAAAATTTAGCTTTGCAATATCTACAGGTTTGGTCCATTCTTCTCATATCATAGCGTAAAGTCTTAATGCGACTTGGGTAGGGTCTTCGATTAGGACAGATATTAATTAAATTGGGATTAGTGTAAAGAGGTTTAATTACAATAGTTGGAATTTCAGTTGTAAGTAAGCATTTAAGTTTTTCAAAGTCGATAATGGTGAATAGAGTATTATTTTTATTTTTTTTATCTCTGAAACGCTTTTGTCTGTTACGGGAGAGCTCTTTTTGATATTCTGATGTTTTAGAACTTTTAGCTAATGTTGACATTGGCAAGAAAATTGAAAAGAAAGAAGTTTATAATAATATA